GTTTCACCACTGAATATTCATCGGGAAATCAATGAATATTCATAAGGCGAAATATATAATGAGTATGAACAAATGATGGTATAGCTGAAAAGTGGTTTCACCACTGAATATTCATAAGGCGAAATATATAATGAGTATGAACAAATGATGGTATAGCTGAATATTCATAAGGCGAAATATATAATGAGTATGAACAAATGATGGTATAGCTGAAAAGTGGTTTCACCACTGAATATTCATAAGGCGAAATATATAATGAGTATGAACAAATGATGGTATAGCTGAATATTCATAAGGCGAAATATATAATGAGTATGAACAAATGATGGTATAGCTGAAAAGTGGTTTCACCACTGAATATTCATAAGGCGAAATATATAATGAGTATGAACAAATGATGGTATAGCTGAATATTCATAAGGCGAAATATATAATGAGTATGAACAAATGATGGTATAGCTGAAAAGTGGTTTCACCACTGAATATTCATAAGGCGAAATATATAATGAGTATGAACAAATGATGGTATAGTTGAATATTCATAAGGCGAAATATATAATGAGTATGAACAAATGATGGTATAGCTGAAAAGTGGTTTCACCACTGAATATTCATAAGGCGAAATATATAATGAGTATGAACAAATGATGGTATAGCTGAATATTCATAAGGCGAAATATATAATGAGTATGAACAAATGATGGTATAGCTGAAAAGTGGTTTCACCACTGAATATTCATAAGGCGAAATATATAATGAGTATGAACAAATGATGGTATAGCTGAAAAGTGGTTTCACCACTGAATATTCATCAGGAAATCAATGAATATTCATAAGGCGAAATATATAATGAGTATGAAAAAATGATGATATAGTTGAAAAGTGGTTTCGGACCCAAAATTCGGACCCAAAATTCGGACCCAAAATTCGGACCCAAAATTCGGACCCAAAATTCGGACCCAAAATTCGGACCCAAAATTCGGACCCAAAATTCGGACCCAACTCTTGATGCGTGCAGGACCTGAACCCATAACGCCTGGGTTTCCAGTCACAACTACTAACCAGTGCACTACTTGGGTCCCCCCAGTACATTTCCCTATTTCATAAACTTAACTCTTATGTTCCCTAAATAAATTTCAATTAAAAAAGGTTCTGCATGGGATTTTTTGACAAACAAAAAAAGGCAAACAATTGTGTTTTCTCTACAAATCAAATTGTTTGATCCAAACATAATTATTCTAATAGTGCATTGGAACTTAACAGATCATGTTTTTCAGCTGGCTACAGTTCAATTCCACACATCTCGAGAGAAGACGCATTAACAAAAACGAGTTACACTCGAAGACTTTTATTTTCAAAATGCGATATTTAAATCCATTCTTTTTTAAAGGGAGAAATTTGCATGGTTATGAAACTTGTAAAAACAAACTTCTAAACTTCATTTTTGGCTTTACTCTCTTCTTTAAATTGTGTTTAGCTACATGTACATAACACCCACCGAAACTGACCTGGAACAGCCAGGAGGATTTTAGCTGGCATTTATCCCTTTTTGGAAATCTCTTCAATTGTTGTTGAAATTACTGATGACTGATTTGATTTATTGAAATAATTATGACCGACAGAACAATTCATAAACAAGAGAAAAGTAAATAATAACAGGAATAATTTGTATACAAAACCACTGCCTTGCGATGCCATGGATAGTTAGAAAGGCAGTTTCAATAATGTTACATAGTACAGACTTCATACATTGTTAATATGTACTCTGAAATTATTCTACAGTACTATTTACAGCTTTTATACAAATGTGCATAAACACAGCATTGGTAGTTAATTTTAACGGATAATTTCAATAAAATCATTTGAAATACTTCCATGTGTAGCTATGGTTGGTCATTTTTTGGTCCATAAAATATTAATCCTCAAAAACTGTGTAAGATTTAAACTGAAAACTGTCCCATTCATTATTGCTAATTTCCTGTTAACGTTTAAAGGCACATTTTTGCTTGTTTCGCTGAACAAAAACAATATAATGTACATTATTGTTGATTCCTCTGACAAATGCACTTAGTTTCTAACATTAGGTGTTTTTCAACTAACCTCAAAACTTTGACGTCATTTTTTCATAAAAAAATCAAACATAATTTCAGTGTTATCCCAATTATAGTTTTCTTCTCTACACATTTCCCTTCGCATCTCGGAAATAAATGTATCTTTTTTCGTTCAAACCATGAAACCAAAGATACTTTATAGTTACTTATAAACTAGAGATTTATGAAATAAATAATTTTGGAATCTGTTGAAGTCTGTGGTGTTGCATAACCATCAGAATGCACATCTATCAGCCTCATTTCAACAATATGGATGACTGTATGTTACACAATGAGTGCGTTTGATTATTTCCCCCAGCTTACTCGCGCTTGGCTCGCGTGATGACAGACATGCGCAGTGGAGCTAAATAAACGAACGGTTCCGGGTTAAGTTTTGTGCAAGGAGCTGGAAAGTTGAACTTTGACATGACACTGAGGCTGCATCCGAATCAACTGTCTGGAGCTAGGTCTAGGTCCGCGCCCACTGAAAGTAGCGCTGGGGACGCACTGACAATAGACGTAGCCGTGGCTCTGGAAGCCTGTTTCGGACACGGCCTGAGGCGCCCGCCGAACGTCACGTTGGCAGCCATGTTTATTGCATGGCCTTATGGGATACTTACCCAAGTAACTGACTCGGTGAGTCGGTTACTTGGGCCAAGCTTGAGTAAGCACGAGAAGTCACGTGAGAGGTAAATCGAACGCTGTCGTGCTTGCACGAGTAAGCGTGGGGGAAGTAATCGAACGCACTCAAATTAAGCAAAGCTTACCTGAATAACCCTTAAGTAGTGAAAAATGGTAAAATATCTGTACAATAACAATAAAAGCACGTTTTTAGATCACTAAAGTTCTCTGATTTCTTACTTAAGTACATTAATTCTTATAAGAACACTTGAATATGAGTAACTGGAATTTATATTGTACAAAGAAAAAAGAAAGAAAGGAAAACAGAAATGAGATGAAAACCGCATACCGTCTTTCTTAATGCTTCAACAACAAAAATAAATTGTTCTGCAAACACACTAAAGCCAAATGGATTTCAAATATACAATTTTTGACCTGTCAAAAATTCTTGCAGACATAAATGCCATCATTGGTCACTAAACAGTCATTCTTGCATTAAAAAGTCAGAAAAAAACATACATCTGAGTCGTTACTCAATAACAATTGTTCAATTATTAAACGCAAAGCAGGATTGGCTGATCCTTTCAAGCACTTTCTTTTTTCATTTTATAAAATTTGTCCAAAATTTCTCCACAAAAATACAAAAATTACAACTCATGTGCCTACATGTATTTAGAATTATCACGTACCGCTTTTTGTGCTAATTTTACAATTTTCAGTAATTTTCTTTTAAGGCTTTCGTATAAATTCAAGGATCATTCAGTTCATCAGCCACGATCCTCATTTCCGCAAGGCAAGAATTTTGAGACAGTTCCCAATTAAAAGCGACTGATCAAATAAGGAATCAATGTTTTTATATCACAAAAAAGAAGTAATTATCACACATTAAATGGAATGAATACAGAATTCTGAATGAATAATTTTAAAAAAGGCTGATTAAACTCTTTATTTACACTTTTTTACTCCCTAAGTGCTGAACTTCAGATTAAAAAAAAAACTCATTCAACTAAAGAATGGTAATATCATCTTGTAACAACATTTTGATAAAATTTACCACAAAAAAAAAAAGATGACGCAATCTTAACCTTTTGTTTACCTTGTGTGTGTTCCATCTACTATTGATCTTTCTTTCTGTCTTTTTTTGTTTTTTGTTGATAAAACGGCTCTACAAAAAAAAATTATTAACTTCATATGCAGCAATAGTTTAATTTTCATTAACAAGTTTATTATTTCATTTTTTAGGACGGACATCTCAAAAATAATAAAATTTTCATGCAACTTCAACATTGTCCAAAATGTTTGGGTCCACTATTTCAACATTTCGATGGCAAAATTGTATATATCATTAAAGATCTCACAAAATGCGCAAAAATATATTTTGCTAAAACGTCCGCAAGGTTTTCTTAATTTCTGAAGGTTTATTTTTTTATCATGCGTTAAATATTCATATGTAGTCTTTTGGTTGAATGCAAAAAAAAATTGATCTTTATGCAAGTACTGAAAATGTCCATTTAAAAAAACACTACAATTAATTATATCCAATATGGCTGGGTAAAAGTAAATTCACGCAAATCCATCTTGAAATAAATATAAGGACGGGTATTGAAAAAAAATAAATCTCTGCTAAATCTACGAGTATGATCAATTAAGTATCTTGTGCCGCAGTGAGCAAATAATGCTTTCATTACAAAAAAAACTCTCCAATCTGAGAATTCTTACAGCATATCAAAATAAATACAGCTTCCGTTACAACTTCCAAGAAATTAATTTTTTTTCTTTTAGACCAATCTGAATCTAGAATAGTCTGGAGGTATATGGAAAAATGGAAGATTGACCACTTAACACCTTGAGACGCTCACCGAAACTTCCTCCTTTCTGAGACATCCAAACTCTCTAAACGAAACCAAACTTTGTGTGAGCAGTATTCACATAGGAATGATTCTCCCCACCTTGTTTTTTTCCATCATGGACTCATTCCCTGCACTGTTCAATATCACCTTCAAGACTTTTTGTAACAACATGGGTGGCTTGTGCGTAAAGTGCTCGCCTCTCACCAAGGTGACCACGGTTCGTATCCTGGCCGCGGATCACATGTGAGTAGAGTTGTGCGTTGGTTCTCTCCTGTGCCACGAGGGTTTTTCTCCGGGCCCTCCGGTTTTCCTCCCTCCGGAAAAATCAAACACTTTCGATCTCAGGCTGTGCTCCGTGGTCATATATGGGTTGATGTGGCCGGCAGCCATAGGCGCCTTTACGTGCCAGCGGCCCGACCACGTTGTAGCCGCGTCCTTCGCAATTCAGCATACCAGCTGCGAGTAAGGATGATTAGCCTCCCAAATTATTATTATTATTATTATTATCTCTGAGAAGAATACTTGGCGTATCAGACGAGAGTCTTGAGCAGTTCAATGGTCGCCTTGTAGCAGAACAGATACTGGTCCTGTGGTGAAGACAAAAATAAGAAAATATGGACGACAACATAAATACATATCTGATTTAAAGTTTGTTAAAACATTTACAACTATCTAAAATCAAACCAGCTCTGTTATGAACAAAGATAAAAATGGGATTCAGCATCACAATTATCCAATTTTGAAGCCGAGTCCTTTTCTGAGAAAAACTGGAACACAAGTCGGTGTAGTAGGAAATGAGCTTTAGCACCACGGCTTTTTTGCTGAAGTACTTTGAGTTGGAATATATGTGGTTAGACACGCAGTCTTTTAATGTTCTTATCCTATGCGCCAGGGATGCAAGTGGACTCTGACATTTTTTTTGCCAGAAATTTGAGGTACAAAGGAAAAGTATACACACATGTATGGTATCATTGACAATTTCTTTTTAAGAAAGCCTGAAATCGGGCAATTGCAGAAAGGCTTACATCCCTGTTGTCAAACACTATTTACGAAAGGACTCCGACTTAAGTTGTTTTGCAAACTGTTTAGACATGTTCAGCATATTTTTTTTCTCCAAATAATAAGGTTCCAACCTATAATCCAATGTCCAGTTTCTTAAACCTTATTTATACCGTACGACGTTATGTTTCAATGTACTTATTGTACTCAGAAAAGGATTTTCGCCATGGAAATAAATGAAACAATTCTGTACTCAAAATTGGGTTGCACAAAAAAAGTCAATTTTAAATGATTCCTATTTCTGAAAAAAAAAAATCTGTAGATACTGGATACAAAAACTCAAGTCGCTAACCTTGGTCTGAATCATGCCCTGGCGTTGGGTCCTCAGATCCCTGACGATGTTGACAATCTTGAACGGCTCGTCCCGATCGATCAACGCCATGAGGGTATCGATGGTGATCAGCGTTCCGGTGCGGCCGATTCCTGCGCTGCAGTGGACGATGATTGGCCCATTGGCGTGAATCTTGCGCATGTACTTGGTGTAGCGCAGTAAGGGGAGGGCTAAGGAGGGCACGCTGTGGTCTGTCCTGGTGGTGAAGTTGAGATGGGTGACGTAGTGGATGGTGTTGGTCTAGGGAAGCAGAGAAAAGTAAGGACACAACCCAAAAAAATTGTGAGCAGGTAGCACAGGTAGCATATGAACAGCTTTTAAGCACGAAATATGGTTGGTGTCAGTTTCGTCACAAAATCCAAGTTGGCTCCTTTTGATGTCATTCGCAAACCTATTTCCGGTAACTGCCGAGCACATAATAAGGCCAGTCCATTTTTCATGTCAAAATGCAAAAATGAAAGTCAAGAGATATTTATGACATCAACAACTGTGGTTTCATTGAGTTGTTCACCATTCCAAAATTTAATTACTTTACTTTGCATAAAGTATGAATTAGGTTACATGCTGCACACAGAAACATGTTTTTTTTTTTTTTATCAACATCTGGAAAATAACCAAAAAAATTGACTATGATGTACTGGTATTCACCCTGTGACTGACTCTCTACTAATTTTTACATAAAAAAAATGAATGGTACGAATTCTGCCTCCTATCCAATACCTTCATATCACTCATGGATATTTTGCGGATGTCAAAGTGGTCAATCGTCTGCATACTGTCCAGTCTCAGCTGATAGCGGCCGGCCACTGTGATGGGTGTCTCCATGGAATCAGGCCAGTAGCGGTCACACTTTACCTGCATCAAAATGAGCAAAGAAACATGTGATGCGATCAAGCTAAATGAGTCGTTTGTCGACCCTGGTCAATTTTTTTTTTACAGATTTGAAAAGAGCACAATCTCAGCATTACTGCTGTGAAAACCGCATGCTAGTACCATCTTTAGTTCAAAAATTATGGCAGTCGGAACACCAAGAGATGTGATGAAGTGATGTGATGAAGTGGCCCTACTTTGGCCTGAATCTCCAAATGAAAGTTCCCGACAAATGCCTTATTTAGCTTGATTGCATCACACAAGCATAATTGTAATAAGTCTTTTTCCCCGTGCTATCGGTATGTATTATGTCCTTCTGCTTTAGTTTAGACAGTAAATAAAATGCTAGTGGTGATATTGAAGGTAAGTGTGGCATGGTTTGTCAAAACCGCGCGCTTTAAAAGGAAAAGTAGGCAAGAGATGTGTCATTCAATTTATACCAAGTTTGAGATTTTGAGGAATTCATGATGCCAATTGTCTCGTTTTGATCCCAAAGTTCTGAAATGTATTGCACACTTCAATGAAGTGTATTTTCAGACCATAGTTTTTCTTTCATTTAACCTCAATCTTTAAACTGCATTTTCTCAATTGTTGGCTTTGAACTGCAAATGTCTTAGAAGTGGCTTTAAATTTACATTTGTTTGCAAATTGCGAGGCTTCTATGTTAAGGGAATTGTTATAACTCAGATGTGATTTGTAACCAAAACATGATGCATTTGCTTACACTTTTTACTTTTTACACAATAAGAGTATTAAAAATGTTTCCAAATTTTGCTTGTTGAAAATATACTATCATGGCCACAGCAAAATAAATACCATAATAGCAATGCACATTGTTACAAAAATCTTAAGTTTGAAATCTGACCTTGCCACTTTCAACAGCCAGTGTCACCATGGCGACGACATTCGACCTCTGCTCCCAGACCATCTGTCAGAAGTCTCCGGTAGTCTGCGGCAGTGGTCCCTGGCAGGCGATGTAGCGGTGGGTGTCCTTACCCACCAAGACGTCAATGTGACTGGCGTTGATGTAGTTGCTTCAGCCAGCCTGCTCGATCACAACTCTGGTCTCGTCGTCTGAAACAAAAACCAATCAAAAAGAGGAGCAATTTAAGCAACACAGTGTCCAACTGAAATCATTTGCTTTTCATGCATTTTGTTTATTACCAATAATAAAACACCACTCAAAATCCAAAGAAGAATGTTCAAAACCTAACCTGTTGAAGTTTCAGATCAGTGGATATTACTTTTTTTTGGAGGAAACAGTGGAAAATCATGCACAACCTTTCGATCACAGCACTCTGTATTTCCAACAATCAGTCAACTGACTAATCATTGAGAATCACCCACATTTCGTGATTTCCTCTACATGACAGCAAGCCAGACGGAATAATTTCACGGGGTGTTTGGAACTCGTACGATCTTTAAGCTAAGTCAGCTTTTGGATAACAATTTGGAAGGTTACTTTTGGGATAAATGCAAATGATCATAAATATGCTTTGAAGGATTACGTAACAGAGGGCACTTTTCAACTGGAGGGCCACCCTAAAAACATTACCTCAATTTACAAATTGCAACTTACATGGAAGTACATTGCGATATCTGTTCTTGTCTTTGTTGACGGCTTTCTTGGCTTCCTCACAGTTGTCTGTTAGTTTGACGTTACGTAGCACCTTCATTTTAAAGAAAAAGTTGATTACATTTGTAAAAATCGACCCGAAAAATGGCCGAGGGTGCATAATTTGGTCACAGATGCAAACTCTGTTGCACATTTGAAAGTTTACCAGCCTAAGAAATTCATGCAATTTTTGTAAGATTTAAACCAAATAAAAAAAACAACAAAATGGTCCTCTGATCTTTTTTTTCCCTTTGAGCTGACCTTGAATTCCTCAACAGGATCCTGCTTGTCTATCTGCTTCTGCAGCGCCGTGATGGCGTTGCGCAGTGACCTGCCCGAATAGCGCCCTCCCGGGGCCGGTCTGGCCAGCGTCATGCGTCGCAGCTCGGCGTCACTGATCACGCTCAGGATCTTGTGGCTGGGCGTGGCCCGAGTGGAAGGGGTGTGGCCTCGGCCCGATAAGAGGGGGATGTCGGCGTCGGAGCCCAAGGAGCTAGAATCATCGTCGCTTTCGGGGAGCATCTGGCCACGAGCCTTGGGGGAGAAGGGGGAAAGAGAAATGTTCAGATTAAACATCTTTCGACTTTAATACTGTTAAGAAACAAGTCAGTTTTCAAACCCATAAACTTATTTCAAGATGCAGAAGATATTTCCATAAAAATCGTAAGTAAAACCGAAGTAAAAGTCTCATATGCCCCAGCAATTTGTGTTGAAATAAGAGATCATTTTTACACTATGAAATGAGATGTGATCTGTGAAAAGCCTTTACATGTTCAAAGTTCAGATGTTAAATAGATGACCATTACATTTGGGGTTTCTTCTTTAGATTCATAATTTTTTTAAATCTTTTTTTTTTAACATTTGATGTGGTTGTTGAAAAGTAAACATGCAACACTGCAAAGTACTCATTGTGGACGGTTTTCTCAGTTCGCATCATGAGTCCTTGGATGTGATTTCCCTATTCAAAATAGAGTCAATAATACAATAATAAAATAGACAACAGATTTTCACACCAGAAGTTGTCCGATAACTCTCACGATTACTGCAACCTGAAAGCATCAAATTCAGTTGAGCAAACTTGTCTACATCAGTAACGACACATTAGTCATTCTCAAGCAAAAATCTGTTTTTCTCTTTTGTGCAATGTTTGCAGTCACATGGTCTCCCTAAGTTCCATATTTTTATCGCCTCCCTATCCCAGTCATATTTTTCCCCCAACTTCATTCAAGAAATCTTGATCCCACCTTCAAGGCTTGTCCAATTTCCAAGGCCGGTAGTCGGCTGTCGCTGGCAGACGGCGAGCTTCTCTCCGTGTCTGGGCGTGCTGCCCTCGAGTCATCAGGAAGATCCATGGTATAGTCCATATCGTCGTCTGTGTCATGACCTTTGGGGTCAAAGGTCAGGTGGAAAATGTAATATTATTCCTGGACTGTGAATTGTCCATTGATATACACATTGTTTTCGAGTTCAATAGAAAGATCAGATCAAATGAAAGGAGTGAAATTTTCCGACACTATTTTCATATTTTCTGATTTACCAATTTGCTACATTTTACAAGTAACCTCACAGTCCAAACCAATAATGCAAGCAACTTAATTTCTGACAAGTTGAGCACAACACTTGTTTATATGTATTACAAAATCTGATTCTGAAACAAAAACTCAAGCGCATGAAATACAAACTTACATTAAAACTGCATTTCATAGTAAAACATGAATGAGCTCTTCAACAAATTCAAACATGACAAATATATGACCACATGAAGAATAAAACCTGACTTTTTCACATCAAACAAAAAGGAAAATAATCCTTTTTTGGGGGGGAAAACCATTTCACAACTCATTCAAAACAATGGACTTTCAACTTTCAAGGTTAGCCTTGTTTTTTATCAAAAAGGGGCGAAAACAACTTTTTATCACAAATTCAAAACGGTAAGGGGTTAGCCTTGTTTTTTATCCAAAAGGGGAGAATACAAATTTTTATCAAAAATTCAAAACAGTAACTTGGGGTTGAGCATTTTTATCAAAAAGGGGATAAAACAAAGTTTTATCAAAAATTCAAAAAGTAAGTGTTAAACTTGCATTTTTATCAAAAAGTGGCAAAAACAAATTTTTATCACAAATTCAAAACGGTAAGGTGTTAGCCTTGTTTTTTTATCAAAAAGGGGTGAATACAAATATACATGTACATGTATGCAAAATTCAAAACATTTAGGGGTAAGTAGGCCTAAGCCTTGCATTTTTATCAAAAAGGGACGAAAACATTTGTTTTTTTCAAAGAATCAAAACGGTAAGAGGTTAGCCTTGCATTTTTATAAGGCAAAGTTACGATTTTAATTCTAAACAGTAAGGGGTTTAATTTTTATCGAGATATTGAACAAAAAAAACCCAACTTTTTTTCAGTTAAAACTCAAAATGGTAAGGGGTTAACCTTGCATTTTTGAAAAAATATGTGTGAAACAAGAATAATTTTATCGAAAATTCAAACCTATCAAAAGAGGACAACAATTATTCTTTTATCACAAATTCCAAACGGTAAGGGATTAAACCTTGCAATTTGATCAAAATTCATGAAAACATAAATATTGAAATACAGAAAGCACAAATTATATACATTGTACATGTAATAATTTTGACCTATTCAGTGAAAAATGCTCACGTTGCACGATGCAATTTCAGAGGATTTCTTTGTAAAAAAGGGCAAACCGAAAAACAAAGCGTTTTCATATAATAGCAAATGTTCTTAGTTATATTTTTCAGCATAAAATTTGGAAGGCCTTGCCGTGTAAGATGACCGTCAGTCTGCATTTTCATTTCAGAAATTTGTCTGTGAAATTGAATGGCAAGTTACCGGTAGTAATTGCAGAATCTATGCAGAATTGAATAATTGATGCATCATGTGATCATTGTTCACTGAGCAGGTTAATAGCTGCAAGAAAGACAAAGTTACACTGTGATTCATGTTCATTGAGCAGGGCCCAATTTCACGGCGCTGCTTAACACCCAATTTTATGCTAACACAGCCTTCGTCTATTTCATGGAGACCGTAAGCATAAGCACAGCAAAAGGTACGCTTACTTTAGAGGAAACAAATCTGCTAATAACGTAGCAATTGAAATCTCCATGCACGCGCGGCCATTAGCACATCAGCGCTGTGAAATAGTGCTTAAGGTTAGCACATTTTCTGCTATGCTAAGCACAACTTTTCTGCTAACTGTTAAGCAGCACCATGAAATTGGGCCCAGGTCAAATATCCTGGTAAGGTTGGTTTAAACAGGGCCACCACGAGAAGGTCCCAGGATACCAGCCCCAAACACGCTTTCAGTATCGTAAGGCCCATTGCTGGATAAAAGGTAGGCCCCGGAGGGCCAGACACAGTTATCGACTGTCCGGTCCGCCCGCCCAGCCCCGAAGGACCAGGAAAGCACCCTAACCTATATGCGTGCCCCCCTAAGTCCATCCCCCATTACGGGTTCATGCGGTCTGATAGGAAGTAGCAGCGTTTGCCGGCTGTGAATACAGGGCCACGCCCCTATAAAGAGGGACGGCACGGCATCCTAGGGTTTCCAGGCCGCTGCGTAGGACCCACGCCCCACGTGGATGCCAGAGCATTCACGCGGACGCAACCCGTCCCTTGTAACTGGGTTTACCCCGCTACCAATCGGAGCACCAGTCCAACTCCGATTAACTGGGTTTACGCCGCACCTCAACCGAAGCACCAGTCCCACTCCGATTAACCAGGTTGCACCGCACCTCAACTGGAGCCCCAGTCAAAACTCCAGTTAGTAATCGATTCCGCCGCACCACCTTATACTGGGCTTGCGCCGCACTTCTGAAGCACCAGTAAAACTCCAATCGTCCGACGTGCTCAATTTGAGCCGATGATCTGTGGAGAAACCACCACCCCACACAAAACCAACCACCACCGACCTCACAACCACAACATGTACCAGTACATACAGTGGAACACCGCTATACCGAACATCATTATACCGAACATTTGGCTATACCAAACATCGTCCTTGGCTCCAAGTTTTAATGTACAAAATGTACCGAACATCGTTGTTAAAAAAAGTCAACAGATTAACAAAAAAACCTACCGGTTGTACATGTATTAAACACTGTTTGGGCCACTTTTAATTCCCGAACACTAAACCACCCATGGTTACATCATTTTTTAATGTTGAAGAGCGATAGATGGCTATTATTTCTCCAATGAATAAAAGGGAAAACCACCCGTTGCTAAAATTTTGTGACAACTCCTTGTACGGCCGCGGGATGTGCGAAATGCCAGTTCAGTGACTTCACTATTGGTCAAAAGAGGGTACCGGCATTTCAAAATCGCTATACCGAACGATCGTTATTACGAACACTTTCTTTGGATCCCACGATGTTCGTTATAGCGGCGTTCCACTGTACACCATTGGGAGAGCGCGCTGGGATGCAAATAAACATCTTAGAGTCTGACTCACTCTGAACAATCCATCAAACGACTCCACTTGCAAACTGTACTTGGGTCTTGAGATCCTGGGTCTTGGGTGTTCACAGGCTCAATTTGAGCGCTAATGGCTGAAAGAAAATGGTTAGTCCTACCTTAGTGAACATATCTGGCTGACTTGTTTCTTGATAAGTTTAATCAACGGCTGAACAAAACGGTTGGTCCCAAATAATAGTGAACACATCTGGCCGACTTCTTGCATGCTGGCTGGCTGGATGGCTGGCTGAAATTAAATCAACATTTGACAAAAATTATTTATCAAAAATTTAAAATGGTAAGGGCTTAGCCTTGCATTTTTATTAAAATGGAATGAAACATAAGTTTCATCAAATATTCAAAGGGGTTAATTTAGCCTTGCATTCATATCAAAATTGGACACAAATTGCTTTAATTTGAAATTCAACCATTTTAATTGGAGAAAAATTGTTTATTTTGAAATTTAAAATGGTAAGGGGATACATTGTTGCCTTGAAACTTGTATCAAAATCAAACGAAAATAAATTGTATCACAAAGTCAAAATCATAAGGGGTGAGCCTTATGTTTGAGCCTTAAATTTGACAATTATTTTTCCAAAGATTCCACATCATAGATGGTTACATGTAGCCTTGCATTTTGTATCAAAATCAAACGAAAATAAATTTTATCACAAATTCAAAAACATAAGGGTTGAGCCTTATGTATTTGAGCCTTAAATTTGAAATTATTTTTCCAAAGATTCCACATCATAGGCGGTTACATGTAGCCTTGCATTTTGTATCAAAATGGGACAAAAATCAATTTTATCGTAAGGGGCTAGCCTTGCATTTTTATCAAAATTGGACTAAATATAAGTTTAATCAATGACTGAACCAAACGTCTTGTCCTACCTTAGTGAACACATCTGGCTGACTTGTTTTGCTGGCTTGCTAGGCTGGCTGGCTGGCTGGCTCCCCGGCTGGTTGGCTGGCTAGCCGGCATGCTGGCTGGCTGACTACCACTATGCTGCTGATACAAAGAACAAAAAGAGACAGTTTGAAATGACGGGTGTGCTTCAAAAAATGGCTGTAATTAAATGCAGAACAGGTAAGGTGATCCTGAGTTCTTGAAAAAGGAACTCCCAGAAATTCTTTGAGAGATCTGTTTCGTAGTATTCCATAATTAATTTTCTAAGGAGAAGATTTTCATCGGCAAAATTATAGACCACCATATTTCTTACTTGAAATCTAGTAATCAATAAAGCGTAAGCATATTATTATCTATCTCGCATGGGCAACGCATGATGGTTAAAAAGAGTCACAGCAATCATTTTCTGTTCCATGTTATTTTATGACGTACATTGTGAATTAAAAACATCTAACAAAGATTTTTTATCAAAATATTAACATCAAAATCGACTGGAGTGCTCTAACTGGTGAGCTCTGGATAATTGTTCTCTGGTCAAATTTGTATCATATTCAAAATCAGAAGGGGTTAGCCTTGCATTTTTATCGAAATTTGGACCAAAACATAAGTTTCATCAAAAATTCAAATTGGAAAGGTTTTAGCTTAGCAATTAAAAAAAAAAATAATTAAAAAAAATTGTTTTCTCAAAACTATAAATTGTAAGCCGTTAGCTTTAAATTTTTATCAAAATTGAATTGAAGAATAAGTTGCATCAAAAACTGGGGTTATTTAGCCAAGCATTGTACTCAAATTGATTTTTATCAAAAATTTTTAAAATCACAACGGGTTAGGTTTGCATTTTTATCAAAATTGGGCAAACATAAATTTTCAGCAAAAAACTGAAAACCGTAAGGGGGTTAGCCTTGCATTCTTTATTTTTAATAGACTCGTGACAAAAAAGAAGGTGTTTTTTTCCTTCAAAAATTGAAATTTGGTAAGGTGTTAGCAATGCATTTTTATCAAAATTTGACCAAAAAAAAACAGTTTGATCAAAAATTCAATAGGCAAGGGGTTCGCCTTGAAGTTATTATTTTTTTCTATTTTTAAACGACAATATGATGTGATCGAGCTAAATGAGTTGTCTGTCGGGAATTATCTTTTGGAGATAGAGGCCAAAATAGGGCCACTTCATCGCATCTCTTGGTGTCCCGACTTCCATAATTTTTGAACTAAAGATGGTACCAGCATGCGGTTTTCACACCAGTAATGCTGAGATTGTGTTCTTTTCAAATCTGCAAAAACAAATTGACCAGGGTCGACAAACAACTCATCTAGCTTGAACAAATCATACAAAATCATACATTGGACTCACCTGATATGCGTTTGGAGCGCACACTGTGGGTAGAATCAGCGACCTTTGGGTCTTGCGGATGTTGAAATTATTTGTCTTGTTCCTCTGAAAAACTGAAAAAAATGACAAAAAGTATGCAAATTAAAAAACACA